AATGGTTCTTAATCATGTTTTAATTTTTTGTATATACAAATCTATGGACATATTAATTACATACTAATTCACACAGATTTTACATTCACCTAGCGAAAGATCAATACTTCCAAGTATTCATAAATTGAACATATTACGATTTTAATGGTTATAATTTGAAGTTTTGATTGGTGAATATATTTTCGTATAGTTTTAGAAATATAGTGAGATATCAGTTATAATTTTTTTTTTAAATTTCTTTATTGAGTATTATAACAATCTGTCTCTTGGACATTGGTTATAGTGAGGTAGGATGACATTCACACTATATGTATAAACAAATAAAATAATAATCAAAAGTATATACAATAGATAATAAAATAAAATAACCTAAAAAATAAGAAAATTAAAACTAAGAAGAAAAAAACACATGCATACCTGTATACAATCAGGCGAGGGACTCCAGGACCTTACCCTGCGCTACTCTCCCAACCGCGTCACTGGTACTAAAGCCAGCGGAGATTGGTCGAGAGCACTTTAGCCACATACACTCATGTCTTGAGTGAAGAATCTGGCCATTGCCAGAACTCCAATTTATACAATCTACAAAAGGTCGCGAGGCCACTGCCGTTTCAACCTTCTTGGAGGATTATAGGGATGGGAGGTGCTTGATAGGGATTGCGCAAGAGGATTTGGGTGGTACGTAAGGTTCTGGTGAAATTTGGAGAATTTTTCTAGGATAAGGTCTAGGACAAAATGGGATGTTGAGGTTTAAGAACATGAAGTCACAGTGTTTTTAGAATAAGTTTTAGACTTTAACACTTATCGACCGCAGCTCTAATATCTGAAATCGCAAAAAGGTTCTTTTTTAATAGTGCAAATAAATTGAGTTTTATGAATAGTATTTATATTTTATTCTACTTATATAGAGCATCTGTTTCAAAACTAAACTGGCTTTGTTTTATTATTGTATTGAAGCAGGGTTTTTCCATGTATACAGTAATATTATGTTGTATAATTGCCCATGACGTTTGTCTCAATCTAAATTATTCACATCAAATCTTAATCTAATACATAATTAATAAATTATATAATCATTAAATAAATTACCTGCGTTACACGAGTATAGATTACAAACTTCCAAGGATTATTTTATCTTGAAATGTAAGCTATTTTTAATGAAAACCTTTCAGTAGTTCAGGGGTTGTTAATTTTGAAAAAAAAATGTAGAATGTTTTCATCATCTTGGCAAGTTCTTGTTCTCAGGACTAATTCCATCGATGAAATCTATCAATTGATTCAGTTCAATCCTATGGGCAGCGATTTATGCTTTAATAAGTTTAGGGACATTCCAGTGTAAGCTTCTGGAACGTTGCGAAACGATATGAAGAAATGTACACCTACTGTATTGTTGAATTACAAAACAGTAATAATTATAGATTACAAAATAGAAATAATTATACTAAATGTAAATACGTAATGTAAATTGGGAAATAACATCTCTACGTAACATTTCGACAGGGTTATAAATTTTCAGACCAGAGGACCAGAGACAGGGTAATTACATTGGGTGGCAAATAAGTCCTTTCGGTTTTTCAGGGTGAAATAAAACTCAATGTATTATAGACATAAAATTGTTTGTAATCTACAATATATTGACCATTATTTAATATGACTTTTTCCATCTTTCCACTAACTGCATAATGCCATGTTCATAGAATGTCTGGAGTTTATTGTTAAAAAACTGATCCAAGTGGTTTTTGATGTCCTCTTCCTTTTGGAATTTCTTTCCATTCATGGAGTTCTACAGAGACCGGAATAAGTGGTAGTCACTTGGAACTAGGTCTGGTGAATATGGAGCAAAAGGTCCCATCCAAGGCTCAATAATTTATTGCGAGGGACCAATGAGGTGTGGGGTCTAGCGTTGTCTTGGTGGAACACAACACCCTTCCGATCATTCATAACTCTTCAGAATGTTCTCCAAATTCGATATTTCTATATCCGCTGGAAAGCTGAATTATTGCTCTTCAAAGCCGTATGAATGTTTTTTTTTGTTTAAATCCTAGTTAAGGAATAAATAAACAGAAACTCCTTATATGTTTTTTAAGGTCCTGTTGACACCATTTTGTGTAGTTTATGTGACCCTAAATTCCTGCATAATTTCTTGTAGATAGCTTAAGTTGTATTGAAGTTATAGAATTTTTTGTGATTTCCAAAAAAAAAACTTGGGACGAAAACATTAAGCCTAGAAACATAGCCGAGCTTGTTCAAATGGTTTTCTACACTTGTGTGTGACACACTTGGGGCCATAGCAATCTCTCGCACTGATTGGGTGGGATTTTGATCAACAATGGCCTTAACATTGCTCGTTTCAATTTCATGTGGGCGACCAGACCATTGAGCATTGTCTAAATTTCCTAAATGAAATTTGGGAAACCAATTTTGGTAGGTGCGTTCGGTTAAGGTATCATCCCCATAAACACTGCAAATTTTTCTATGAGCATCTGCAGCACGCTTATCTTTTTTAAAATAATACAACAAAATATGCCTATAATAAATGATATTTTCTTTCATATTCACAGTGCAATACCAAACACAATACTAAGCTAGTTCCAACAAGAGTTAACAGACGTAGTTGTTGACATATAACTAACGAGATAAACAATCCACCTAAGGGATTAATTCATCAGATAAGAAGTGTATCATAGTGACATAAAAATAAACAGAAAGGACTTATTTGCCAGCCAAATATGTGACGTACGATTTTTTAATTCCTACTTTAGGTTACACTATTTATAAGAAGAGGTGAGCAATAAAATATCACTGGAGAAGGGGACAAGTTCATTTGCCATTTACCTTTGGAAGGACGAGCATCTCTGATTTTGGTTTGTATTAATGTACCTCTCATATAATTATAATAATTTTTACAGATTCTTTAAAATGGCTCAAGAAGCCAAAACCGCGACAAATAAAGAATAATAAATTACACCAAATGTGACAAGGAAATGCATTTTAAGTTGCAATCCTATATTTTGGTCTAATTCGTTCTTTTCCCGCTAGGGGTCAATTAATATTTATTCTTCAGGGGTGCCGAGAATTTTCTTGATTCTCATCTTTTTTTTTAAACCCCTACCTCGCCGTTTCTTGTATACGGTGAAGAGTACTTGAAGTACAATCAACCTATTATAATCGAATGGAAAGGTCGAGATTAATTTTGAGGGTTTGCCACGGAATAAATTTTAACCCGTCCACAGAGGGAAAAAAAACCGTCCACGGAAATTCTCACACTAGATAGAAATGCAATATACGGGTTTGTTGGCCTAGTTCTAGTTCATAAAATGCACTGATAACAGCTTGTATTATTATTTTCTCTCTCTCTCTCTCTCTCTCTCTCTCTCTCTCTCTCTCTCTCTCTTTCTCGCGCCTGCGCTCTCCTTTCCTGTTTCAGCATGTGATGCCACATTTCTTCCCACACTCATGGAAGTTAGTATTAGTAATGGCATTAGTATTACCTGAATTATTCAAGGTCTATCTATACCTAGAAGTGATTCTATACTATTTCAGCTGTTCGGGATATTAAAAGAAATTATTAGACAAAACCTAGCATTACTGATAATTATACATACTAGTGATCATTCTATGTGCTCAGCCATTACGGAGGTGTACGAATGAACCAGGGCAACTCGATTTTGGTTGTGGTACCTTGTACCAACAGTAACAGCTGTAAGGTTCATCATCAACAGCTGGTCTACATTCGATGCCATTTAAGATAATGACAGAGGAAATTAGCGACTGCACGCAATACTGCCGCAATGGCTGCTGCATTTAAGTATCATCTATGTTTCAAGTTGCAATTATAAGATCGTCATCACGATTAAACTGAGTGCTGCATTTAAAATAAGTAAAACGTTACATAATATAACTTGACATTTTAAATTTTCTGTGCCCATTTTCTAGTTATACATACTTTATTTCTATTGTCATTTTTTGCAATGCAAATTTAATCAAAAATCAAATTAAGTATTACAATTTATTTTATAAAATATATAAGGAAATATATTTTTTATTTAAATTTATTCTTATTTAATTTTTTTTTCTCATTTATCTGTGAAGACTACTACTACGATTTTGTTTAAATTCGGTACCAAAGTCACAAGTCACTTTCGGATGATCCTCGTATCACGACTTTACTTTTCGTACATTTAGGGCCGAAATGGCAGCCGCATACAGACTTCAGATGTTCGTATCAGGAGGTACAAAAAAATGATCAATTCTCTCTCCTCAAAAGGAAAGTAAATAAATATTTTTCGCGGTTGAGAAATAGACTGTAGATATAGTCAAGGCAAAAGGGGAACATTTTATTTTCTAATACAGTTATTGAAAAATATTTTTCTGTTGTAATCTGTATATATCTCCTTGTAACAATATTTAAGACAGGACTTTTTTTTTTTTAATTTGAAAATTAATACATTCTGCCGCATTGAAGGGCATTAATATTAGGGCTACAGTAAACATTCACACAATAAATACATACAAATGATAACTAAAATAGAGATAAACTAAGAAGAGTTGTAGAAAGTAAAATAAGGAAATTAACATGCATAGAGAGAGAAATACTTTATTTAAAGCAGTGCTGCCCTACTGCATAGGGTTGCTCGACACACAGCATACTCATCAATCCTTTTTTTTTATGACATACAAATTATATACAAATTCCTTTTCATATTACATAGCACAAACAATATAAATACTACAATATAATAATACATACAACTACAATCATACAATATATTATGCATACATATTTCGGTGAAACCACCGATACAATATAATTTCTAAAATTTATAGTGATAAAAAAAAATATATATATATATATACCAGAAAATTAGAACGCACACACAACACAGACAAAAAGATATGGTCATTTAAATCATTTAAAATTGAATAAATAAGTAAATAATGATAATCATCCTCTATTACCATATATGTGATGATGTATGATCCCAAGGGAGTCCAGAATAATGCCCTCGGCCAACAATGCAAGCTCCGCGACATCAACACCAAGTTCCTCGAAGAAGCTCCCTGTTCTTTTAGGAATCATTCCGCGAGACCTAAACCAGAGGGCTCTCACTGTGAACTCTCTCTCTCCGAAGGTCTCGCAGAATTTCTCTTTTAAGAAAGGGATACATTTCTCGTAGATTTTCTTCTTTTCTCTTTCTACTTCATTGGCTTGTTCGAGTTCGTTGCTCTCATAGCGAACAGTTGGATCCAAGACCAGTGCCGCCTTTCCGGTCCTGGAAAATTAAAAAATAACACCAAAGAGAGAAACTAAATGAAATTGAAATATATAAAACACATTCAAACCTATGTACAATATTTACATTCGCCCAGGGGATTCTGAGTCATGCTTTGTCCCTCAAATGTGGAAGCCAAGGCAGTACCCCAGGAGATCCCAGTGCTGCTCTCCCAGCCGCCTCATTGCTCAAGACAGGACTAGGTAAGATAATATCCTCTGTTACTGTTATTCCCATCGCACTACCCAAACATTAATACATTTTTGTTTATTATTTTCAAGTATGAAATAAAAAAAAAAAGAAGAATTAAACCTCCCTCAAAATAGGTTTTACCTTTCGAGATAACTGAAAATAATCGCATTCGTTGACAATGAGGATCATTGTTCTCACAGCTTGGCTCAGTTCTCGATTTCACCAGAACTTTCGAAACATTATGTTTTAGTTAATTATATCTAAAAATATTATTGTGCACCAGTGCCAATTCGATCTCGCTATTGTAGGTACAGATCTCAAAGGCTGTATTGTGCTGGCCAAGTTCCAAACCCTGCCGGGTAGTGTCCTTTGGTCGCCAGCGCTGGCATCGCTCTGAAGTGCCTCCTATATTTGAAGTTACGTCATTTCCATTCACATCCTCAGCGTTACAGGTAATGAACTAGCGCTATAAATAATATCGCCAGTTCTTTAAAAATAAAGCATTTTGTCTTTCCTGTTGTTATTACAGACCTTGTAGATCTTTAACCGCATTAACAAGCCTTCTATTGAAGCATTCATTGTTACGTTGAGGCTTCCAGATGGATTACTACGAGATACATCCCCCGCCAGTCTTAACCTCTTTGCCTTCTTACCATGGGATATTGATTGACCAGTTTCTGTAAGCAGTTCTTTACTGGTCTTTCTTCTCCATGTGTTACTACTCTGATCCCAGATCGCTCCTGTTATCGTGCGGAGAATTCTTCTCACACCTTTTTTCTAGTTAGTATCTTGGACTCTCAGCCATATTTTAGAATAATTTTGCAAATATATAAAATCTTTATATAACACAATCATTAATTTTTAACTAATATTGTCTACATCAAGTAAAAACATAACTAGGTTTTTTAATTCTTCTTTGGATTGGTTCTGGCATTGAAAATTTATATTTTATCGTACCATTACTCCAAATAATAATCCTGTAGCATTTTAAGACCAATAAATAAATATATTTTATTCAATTATCCATTAGAAACACATTGGTTTATATTATTCGTAGAACTGTTCGGTTATGAAAAAGTTTATTGACATGACTAAACCGGAGATAAAAATTGCAGATCAAATATGTTCAGAGACGCTCCTGATAAAATTCATGGTCGTTAGATAATAAAAGGTTTCTTAGTAGTCATTACAACTTATATTACACCGCCTTATGATGTCATTTTTATAAAGAAGAGGAAATGATAGTGATTATGGGAGTGATAGACTACCAAAAATGTAGTGCAATGACCAACCGAATCTTTTTGTTCTTATCGAGAAAAAATATTTTAGTCTTTTCCAAGAAAATCACCTTTTTCTTTTTTTCTGTTAAAACTTTTTTCTAGGGTGCTGGTTAGTGGTTATAAAGCAGTTACAAAATCATTATTTTTAGTAGGTTTTTTAAGATTAAAAAAAGTAACCAGCACAGGCGGATCTGCGGGGAGGGGGCTTTCGGGCTGAAGCCCTCCTGCCCAAAATGGTAAAATATAACCATATTTTTCTGAAAAAAAATTAAAAACTATCTCTTAAAGTATTCTTGTTATTTTATATATATATATACGAAAAAAAAGCTTTCGGGCTGAAGCCTCGCAAAACTAAATCTTAGAAACACTAATGGTAACCAGTACTTGTCTCGCATTACTAAATCGTATTGCCACGGTGTACCATTAGCACTGGCACTTTATTGGAAGAGGGTAGGTCAAGATTAGACATTTACAAAACTTCCATATTTGCCTAATTGTAAACTATCGAAATAAAAAACAAGGATCTTGAACTTTGCCTGTTGGTGCAACGCCTTCTTTCAACTTTTTTGTATAACTATCGCCTTTCGATAGTACCAGTTTTGGCGAGGTAACCATAATACATGATGTATCCATTCACCTACCTCAGTCATATAAACGTTTGAAACAGAAGTTCTTGTAGTTCAGGAACTGTGTCCATTGGAAATTCCTCCTGGTTGCTTCCGTCTTCGTCGAGGACGAATCCCCGGGCGATCATATCTGTTCCGCTGATCGTCGCGATATGACTGCATGGTCGGAAAGGACTTTCTTAAAGTCCCCCCTTTCGGGGATTTCGACCTTCGTCGATTCCATTCCTCGATGGTGTACTCCCGAATCTTTCTATTGGGTTTATCTGTAGTCCTCACTTAAGAAATCTCTGGAACCCCTGAGGAGCCTTCTCTCTTGTAGCCGATTATGATAGCTTCTTCAAAAAGAAGGTGGAGAACGACCCCTTCTACCTCGTATAATACAGTCCCGTAGACCTTAGTTACTCGATGCAGGGCCGTTGTCTCTGTCTAACTTCAGGGTACGCTTACCTTAGAATACTAATCAAGTAAGAACTGTTTCATTCAAGGAAAAGACTGGGGCTTAATTCATATTGGGAATGATAGATAAATGATAATCTGTGTTTTTGTTAAATACTTATCTTCACTCTTATATATTTTGATATTTAGGTTATTATTGAGGTGCTGTAGTAGAAATACGTGAGTGAGAATACCCTTACTCCCCAGTCGGCAGAATCTATGGGGGCATTGATTAGACTGCAGGGAGAGCCTTCCTCACCACTACTTTCGCCAATGTTCCGTAAAATGATGTAACGTTACGGAATGATGGATATTCAAATCGGAATATATATTACCTAAAATAATCTTATAAAACATTTGGACTTTATTGTAGATTAAGCTTCCCCTTAAGTTTACATTAATGATAAAATTAAGCTCCTTTCCCTTCCTAGTCCTGGTCCAGAACCTAATGCAATAACTACATTATATTGCAGCCACAAGGGGAATAATGTGTTTGGGTCGACCGCTTGTATGTGCATAACGATTTTTGAGAGAACAGTTGGATCGATTTTTACATTTGATTCAAATGCTGAATAAAATTCTAAAAAAATTGTTTATATTTTAATTAGTTTTAATTTTTCGTTGACTTAATATGAATGTCATGTGTAAAGGGCGTGATGGTGGCGTATTTTGGGTCAACGGGCACGTTTGTGGCCCTGAGAAATAAATCTTGATACTACCACTCCGGTCAGTTCTAAAAACGTAAAAAAAAATAAAATAAAATAAAAAATATTAAAAATAGCATGGCTACGGAAATATCCCTATCCATCCTAAAATAATGTCCTTTTTTTTATTCAGGATGTTTCAGGGTTAAGTGGCCAAACGGCAAAAATGAACTAAAGACCTCAAAACAAGAAAACAATATCCTCCGAAGTTATGTCCGCAAACGCTTTGTTTAGGAAATATTCACACCTAAAGATTTTCATTGTTATGAATTATTTACGTTATATGAAATAAATAAAACCTATTTATTTTTTTCTAACTACTTAATTAATTAAATGCAAACATTAACATTCATATTAAACGTTGTCCAAAGTTAAGGTATAGGCAAAGGATTTGTTAACAGGAGATGGATTTGATAGAATACTAATACGGCCTCTTATTCCTAACTGTATAAAAACAATTGGCAACATAAGGATTAATACTATCTGAAATTAGCATTGGGAACTCTCAATAATATTTATCAGTTTGTAAGAGGCGTTCGCAGAGTACTCATCATTATGCCGATATGGTGTTTTTGCTATGGTAATGCTAATGTTGCCAAAAAAAAAAGTCTATGCAAGTCTGGTCATTGACCTCAATTCTTTACGAAGAAGGAAAATTCAATCCCGTAAGACAACAACACATATCCAGTGCCGTTCTGCCACTGCTGCTGTTAAAGAAAGATGCCAAACCTGTCTTAATGCTCTAGGAAATAACTTTGAACAACATTTAATATGAATTTAATGTTTAAATTTAATTAGCAAAGTAGTTGGAACAAACAATTTAGTTAATATAACGTAAATAAATCATAACTATGAAAATCTTTAGATGTGAATATCTCCTAAACAAAGCATTTGCGGAAATACCTTCAGAGAAAATATTTTTCTTGTTTTTAGGTCCTTAGTTCATTTTTGCAGTTTGGCCTCTTAATTAAAAATTAAAAATAATGATTTTTTAAATATATATATAAGGTTTAGTCAATGGGATAAGTTTAGCAATTTTCCCATTTATAGAGAAGTATTTAAGCCTATTTAAAATTTTGTAGAAATGAATTTTCTTGGATATCTACCTAAATACCTTATTGGATTGTCAGAAAAATTATCATCCACGAACAATTTAAATAGATTCAGCAATCGGTTGTCTTCCACTATACAATACTGATCCTGGCAAGTAGATTTCGTTCCATCAACGATTGGGATAGGAAACACCCGACTGCTAAACTAAGTTTAAGTTTAAATATTCGTCGAAGTTCAATTTCTCAAAAAATCTATAAAGCTGCTTAAGTATATAGATCTGCAAGTATATTCATTTAGTTCTGGGCTGATGGTTGACTGTTATAGGATGGATAGGGCTATCTCTGATTTTTTTTTTTTTTATTAATTAGTTTTTTATGTTCTCTCGCAATTTAGAGTGAAATAATACAATTCACTATTTGGATGAATGAGTTAGGTAATATTCATTGATAATTGTAATAAGACCCATGTTGATTGATGGTATAAAGCCACAATGAGCTCAATCAACGCTATCTCTTATTGGCCTATCCTACTAGGGATCAACACTCGGATTGGAATTGATTGATCGAGTTAAAGTATTAGAAAATAATATCTTTACGACTCATTTATTACATCATATATATATTTATACATGTAGAATTTTTTTTCTTTTTTAAATTAACAATTTATTTACATAAATATGCTATTTGTTCTTTTTTTAAATTATTGTATTATTTATTTACAATTAAATGTTTTTCTTTTCTGTTACAGGTACGCTTTAGAAATTTTATCATAATGAAATCTGATCAGGTAAAATATCTTAAAATGTTTTTTTACGATTGAAGTAATGTTTATTAAATATACTATTCCTTGCTTAACAATTGAATTTAATGCAAGTAAAGCTATTTTGTGATATGTGTAAAACATATTTTCTTTTCTTTTTTTTAAGTGAAAACTTTTTTAGGCGCGTTTTGCATTTTTTTTTTTGTGGAGAGTGAATTAGATTGAACCGTCAGATCTCAGTGTGTTAACGCTCGAGTAAAATCTGCTGGATTAGACTAATTAAAGTGTTTTTGCATATGGACTTAAATATCTCAAAAACTAAAAATCGGACCTACATACTATAAGCGAGGGAATTGTTCAGCATTTCGTTCTCTCTGTAATGGGCTATTATTCAAAATTGTATCTTAACGCCACGCCATTTTATGGGTGGCGTTAAGGGAAAAAAGTGTCAAAAACCAAATGATAACTAGTTTTATGGATGATATGAATTAAATTATCTCAGAAACCAACAATCAGACCTGCATACTGTACTGGATGGAG